GATTTCAGTGATGGTATTTCATATTCTTTTCTTAACAAGTCATGGATGTTGGTTCCCTCTTGAAATAGCAAATATATTTAATAGATGGAAAAACCAATTAAACAACTTCAGTGTCTATTTCACCAAAATAGATCTTCAGCACTCCAAGGGCCTGATTCTGCCCTGAAGATATGTCCTGTACAATTTCCCAATCCCTTTATATACATTAATAAATGAGCAGCATGACTCGAGGTTGTGATGAATAGTTCTGCTCACCATCTAGTATCATATTACATCATCTTTTGGACTATTTCTCATCTTGGCCATTTTGAATGGCAGGATTTTGGCAACTTGTCTTCTACTGAAATACAGAGCAAACACAACCGTGTCTTTCCAAGGGAATTTTTTTTTCTTCAGTCTTGTCAGATGCCATAACACCTCACAGTGCAAGACAGACTAAAGTCATGTCAATCTCTCAGTTATTCACTTCTAATCACACAACTTTATCTTGGTTCCCAGACTACAGCTGCCTGAGAAGCCAACACAGTGCTCCTGCTGTTCCTGTTCCCACATGAGCAAAGCAAAACCGGTCCCTTATCTCCACTTAGGACACTGAATATAAGCAGGGTGGGCACACGGTGGGGAGGAAGAATTTAATTTTCATGTGCTTGCACACTACTGCAGTAGTTTACCAGTCTCGGTGTTGTATTTTTGAAACCTCTTTGTTCCTCATCCCTTGGAATCGTAAAGTTTTCTGAGGTGGTTAAAACATTTCTTTTTAAATCTGTACTTTGTACTTGACTAGAGTTGAGAATTGTGATCTTACATTGACTAGATAAGAGTACTGCTGCCTCAGTTCAAGTCCAAGATAGGTAGTCTGATAATCCACGAACGCTGAGTAGCAGGGAGCTCTCAGAACTTAATTCCAGAGATCAGTGCATCCAGGCAAAATGGGCTTATGAATCTCATCAAGGAAATAGTCACAGTTACTGTTGGTTATCAGTGCTACTGCAAGTTTAATTGTTCTCAAGGCGTTCAGAGTTTCTGTGTGGATGACTTCTAATTGCTATTGCATCAGAATGAATAAACAGTTCTTGGGCAAAGAACTATGATCCCAGACAGACAGATATTGCTGAATACTGCTCAAAGAAATCTGCATTGCACACCTGCATCTATGGAGGGGTTCTAATTGTTTTATATTAAACACTATTAATAACCCCTTCTTTGAATCCACAGGCAATAGAGTATTTGAAATAACTGAAGTTTCTTTACTTGTTCCTTCTCCAACCTGTCTACAGGTCTGATGTATTGTCTTTAGCAAATAACCCTGATGGGGTTATTTGGATGGAGTGGTTAATCAAGATCACAATTTTTATAAATGAATTTGAGCTTAATTCTGATGTGTCTACATGTGAGACATGTTCTTACATTGATATTTAAGAAAAGAATGAGGTTATGGGAGCCTGGCTATTTTCTGACTCTCTTTTATTTTTTAAAATCTATTGTAAAATTGTATAAAGCTTTCTCTTAACCATGTGAACTAGAACAATATAAACTAGAAATCAAATAATGTCAAATGCATTATACTTATAGTTAACATTTTTTTTGTCAATATCATGGCAGAATGTGAACAATTGATTCAACATTTGTAAAAACCAGAAATGAAAGCAAAGAATTAGGATTTGCTGCCGTGAAACAGAAAAATTAATTCCCATGAAGCTCTCTCACCCATTTTTTTTTGTCTAGTTACCTTGTCCAGCTTTTTGATGAAAGAGCCACTTTGAAAGAAATACAAAATTCAATCTTCCTAAAGAGTATTTTCACAAGCAAGCTCCCTTTCCATTTGTGACAGTCTTTCAAAATCTCTTTGCATCTGGATATAAACCTGGGATAAAATCCCATTTAGTCTCAAATTTAAATAAATCCACTAAAGGAATTTTAAAAGTAAAACCTGAACTTGACAATTTATAATTTTAGAACCTGGTTTTAGCCTTCTGGCAAGGTTTTAAAACAAGGATGGATGTGAAGGTCCAGAAAAGAAGTTTTAAATAATTGATGGGTGTGGGACAGGGTGATACCCAAGACGAAGGCTTCACAGTCTGCTTTGGGAATGAGTCAGTCCAACCAAAGCTAAACAGATGATACAAACTCCGCCTCAGTGACTAAGACTTGGTAAATTCTGCTAGTGTTAAGGTTTCCATTGTAATTACATCTCCCCTTCAAATAAACAATATGATGCTCATTTAAAATAAATTAACCTGTAATTTTATCTAATGCATTTGAAACTGGAGTACGCACTCTCCCCAAGTAAGCAATTGATGTTGCTTTACTTGAGCACTCTATTTCTTCAGTGATGGCAGAGGGGAAATGTTCTGCCTGAAACATTCTGGCATAGTCTGTGCTACCAAAGTGAAAGAAATGATAACCTAAAGCACAACTCCCTTTTTTTGCACCTATGAACAATTAAATGTACTGCTGGCTGCAGTGCTATTGCTCCATTTCTCCCAGGGCAGCACTACTTCATGCCTCCTAACAATTACAAAAACAAGTAAGTCAGGATCATCCTGAACTGGACTGTGCTAACCCACAGCTGAGGATAAATTTGGCCTTGATGAGTCTCTCTTTACTCAACACTTCATGTTGTTTTACTCTGTTGAATTTCCTGTTTCTTGCTTAATCTCACCTGGGATTATTCTGACTCCTGTAGGCTGACCTGGAGAGAGACACCAAAAAACAGTTTCTTGGTGTACAGAATGCCATTTGTGTGCTGTATGTTGGTACTCATTCACATACTCTCTTTCACTAAGACTATTGCTGCCAACAGTTCTCCAAGGGTTTCTGTATTTTCAGCATCTCTACTGTCTAAATCCAAGGGCCACTAAATCACTCACTAAAATTTGCTTTTAGCTACATTTTACTACACAAACACATACTGCAAACTATCTTTGCTTAAAAGTGCACAGGACCCTTTATGTTTATCAGAGAACTACAATTCTACACACGATTTCTTTAATACTGTACCTTTGGCCAGAAACTGAAATTCATTTGTCTATAGTTTGAACCTACTGGTCAGACAACACTGCCAAAACCTTTGAGTTCTGTTCAAATTGGGTTCTACTCCCATTTCCTATTACTGTGATTGAAACATCCTGCATAAGGAAAACAAAGCTAAAGCATTAACTGTTTCATGGAAAATGGTAGCTCATCTTCACACAACTTTCCTGCTTTCTGTTTTTCTGGTTTTGTTGGTGGCTGTGGCTGTGTGTGTATGTGTGCATGCACACACCTTATCTCTGCAATATTTCAGAAATTCTCTCCAATCCTGGTCTGCTCTAGTGAGCATCTTGTTAAGCCTCTGAAGGGCTCATGTGTGCTGTACTAACCTTGACATGTTACACAGTCTTAGGAAGAGGAAGGCAAAACACAAATTGTCAAAACCATCAAAGGAATAGCTTTTTTTAAATTTTATAAAATTTGGAAAATATCAGCAGTAATTAAAAAGAAACTCTACCCCACCTCCTCCCCCCCAGCCCAAAAAAAAAAAACCCCAAAAAAAAAACCCCAACAAAAAAACCCAAACCCCAAATCAAACTAAACAAAAACCAAATCCCAAACAAAAACAGCCCTACAAACTGTCTTGAAACAGACAGGAATTTCTCCTTCTTTCACAAACCCAGAAAAGCAAATTCACTTTTGAAAGTCCTCTTTGTCAGCTTTTCATGGTTACCAGAAATTATAAACCATGGACTGTCTTGCAAACATATATATACACACTTCTTTTCATCATGTCTGATTCAACATTCTGTCATCTGGAAAATCTCCCACTGACTTCAATGCACTTTTACCTAAGCAAGGTCTGAGTAAAGACTGCAGAATACAGTCCATAAGCTTTAAAAATACAGTGTGTACCTTTGAGGAGGATAATCTTTCTCTCTTTATACACCCTGTGCCAAGTTGGACCTGGCACTGACAGGATTTTTGCTATTAGCAGACAATAGGGACTAGGTTAAAAATAGTGTAGCCATGAGAAAGCAATGATTCTGATTAAGTAAATTCCATTGAACTCTTTCTAGTAAGCATTATTCAGGTCATGAATGCTAATTTGTCCTGCAGGGGGCTGTGGGTAATTACCCAGAAAAACTATCAGCTTTATTGAGTTGCTACAAAATAGTATTACTGAATGGAATGCTCTGTAAAGGGACACAACCTTGATATGTGTCTGTTGAACTGAACAGTCTTTTTCTGAAGAGATCATAAGCTGGACCAAAATCATAGTAACTTTTCTTTGGATTACGATACATTCTAGGCTACTTTTATGTTTCTCTTAAGTAAAATTAACATGCAAAATTATGCAGCACAGAAGTGCCACTATGACACCTAGAGCAAATTTAGCGTTCTGCATATTTAAAGTTGTGTAGAATCAGAACCATCTTAAAAAAATGAAGCAAATGTGGCACATTGGCTGCATTCCAGCAGTCACATAGAACTGCTGACATTAGTAAAATCTAGATAATTTAGTCCCATATGGGAATCCATACCACAATTATATTGTCCCTGTTCCGACACAGTCCTGATTTTGCACTTCTTTAAACCTAGCTTTTTATAATTTTAATTCCCTCCACCAATAAAGCAATTTGCATTCACACAGCCTTCTCTGCTAAGTGAGAGTGAGGAAGAAATCTGTTACATGACCTTGGTCTGTTTTGCAGTTGATTACAAGGAAACATAGTCTTCAGCTAAACTGTTCTCTCATCTGTTTTTAATTGATGTAGAACATTGCACTCCAAACCGTAGCAGAGAACTAAACAAGTAGCACGCCATGGTAGGTGACAATTCACTTTCAGTTAAAGAATGTTTATGTGAAGCAAATTCTCTTGCATGGACAGAGATGCTGCACACACACTGGAAGTTTCCCCGGGTATCTACCTGGGAAATACATATACTTGCTGCTCACCTGGCTTCCTAAGGAACTACCAATTGAATCTCACAGCTCTTTAAGTATCAGCCTTACTTACTGGGCTCAGTGGGTAGCATGCTCAGGGTAGAATCAATCCCTGTGTGTCCTCCAGCCACCCTCTGGGATTTTGGGGCCTCAGGTCAGTGCTGCTATGATCCTTCCTGCAAATGTCCAAAGATCCACTGAGTGCTGGTAAAGTGACATGGTAGTGCCAGAAGCATTAGAATGGGTAGGTATATACAAAGGAAAGGTAAGAATGAAGAGAGCAGTATAACAAGATATTTTATACAGCTGTACCAAGTAAATGAAATAATTTCCTTTTTGTTTTGGACTCAGTATAAATTTCCAGCCAATAAGGACTACACCTGAGCACTGTCATGCTCATCACTGCACAGACAGCTGGAGTCCTTATCCAAAGGATGTGCCAGCCGAGACTGACATTTCCACTCAGGTTCTCTTCTATGACAACTGGGATCTGCTCCATTTCAATTTGATAAATCTATGGTAATTAACACCCACTGATGATATGGCCCTTATCCTAAACATTTAATGGCAAAAATTAGTTCCAAATAAACAGTGCTTTAAAAGCATTCCAGGTAGAAATGACATGAGGCAGATTTTATTTGTTATTACTTCTGACATTTTTAGGTACTGTGACAGAACAAAAAAAAAAGCATGCGAAGAGTATGATGAAATTAAAATCTGGTATAGGGAACATAAAAATCATCCTCATAGTTCTTCTTAATTTCTGGCAGTGCTGGACACAAAACTTCTTAAAATGTAAGGCCGCGGCAGATATAAGGAATATTTTTTCAAAATTTCAGTAACAATGAAGAAACCAGCAGTAAAGTTTGCTTATTCTTCTAATAAATGATCTGACATTCCATTCTTTTCTTTCAATTCCTCTTGTTTTCTCTCATTTTGCACTCTCCAACTACTTCTTTTTTTTCATGGTCTCCAAATAAATTCATTTCCTTTACTCAACAAAAGAGTAACATTCTCACAGAACCAGCACTGCTGAGATTGGCTACTGTAATTTGTTTGAAGGATTGATTTCATGTTCAAAATATTGGAACAGCAATGTTTGTCATTAAAAAAAATATTGAACATAAGCTTGAGTTGGACATGATATTAATTAATAATGTTTCCCAGTGCCTCACTTTCCATAAAAGGTATGAGGTTTGAATAAAATATCAAAATGTAACTCTACATATTTTGCTGGAAAAGACTGTTTTGTTCTAAGTGTTTGCATGTAGCTGTAGAAGTTTGCCATTCTATATTTTTATATTTGATTTAAAAATAAATTTTATTATTACTTATTTTGAAAGTTTTCCTGCTCTATTTTGGCAAAGAAAAAAAAAATTGTTTAATCTTCACAACTAATTGTTTTATAAGTGTCCTGAATAAACTCACCAGCTATGAAAAAAGACAAAAAACCCAAAAAAAACCAGCTAAATTCTTCTAATATATTAAAAAGGAAATACTTTTTTCATTCTTTTAGCACCTTGACAATAACAGAATTGAAAAACAAAACTCCACCCCAATCTATTGTGATTACCGGCAAATCTCATTTTCAGTGTCACTAAAACCCATAATCAATCACGATAATTCTGCCGCTATTGTATTTTTTTAAATGCATAAGATCAAAAATGTACAAACACCCCAGATTTATATTCTTCAAAATATCTTATTGTTTCTTCTTGTGCTTCTTTCAAGAGAAAATTAACACAATATATATTAATGAAAAATACCAGCTATGAGGAGGGTGGACAAATATGTTTATAACAAATTAGTTAGTCCCCCCGTTTCCAAAAAGTTTTCCAATAAACTTTTTGATTACACAACTTACATGTAAAATATAATTTCTCCTCTTTCCAGCTGACAGATAGGTGCTCCTAAATACAATTATCATTGTGTATTTTGTCTTCACAGTAATATTAATTTCCCAAAGATAATACTGCCAGAGTACATAAGATTAATTTTACTGTTAAGTCATTAGTCACTACTTTGTGCTCATTCTAAAAAAAGGCAGGAAGCATTAATCTGAGCGTATCACATGGGATTGTTGTTCATCTTAAAGAAAGGTTAAAAGAAGCTTTTTATTTCCTCAGGGACATTAACATAAAGAAAATATAAACACACACCAACCCCAACAAACTATAAAATTCTTTTTTTTAATTCAGGCTGTGAACAACTGAGAGCCATTTCTCATCTGAATGTGCTGTGTTGTAGAAAGAGCCTAACAAGGATTAAAAAGGCCATTCTATGCAAGCGTTTTGCTAAATCCCTGCATGCCATTCTAGGGTGACTGTACTGTCTGAACAAGTTCTTTCTGTTTGCCTGCAAGAAATAGCTGGCTCAAACAATTCATCTGATCAGTGAGGCTCAGCCAGAGAGTGTGCCAGCCCAACTATATGCAGTCTAATACTCTTTCCATGAATGACAGTTAAAAAGGGACTTTTTTGCTTGACTGGTCCTCCACAGGATGTGGAAATAGGCTCAGCTAGGGAAGGAAGGTAGAGAGGGTATGAAACCAGCACCAAACATCACTTTTTAAGTCCTACTGCCTACCTGTCTTTAACTACAGTGCAAGCAGACAGATTTACAGTAAATTAATATGAACTCACCTGTCAAAAAGCTCTTTATTCTGCATCTATGACAAAGCAGTTATCTGAAAAGGGCAGGAGGTCAGTGAAATTGCACAATGGTAATAGGACAGTGAAAAAAATGTACTGGGGGTATCCTTGCTTCCTCTTATGAACAACCATTTTTCATGTGTTCAGCTGTTTTGAAAGATTAAGATGTGGAAATGTCAGAACTGGTCTGCTAAATAAAGCTACCAAAACATAGCTTGGATAATAATTATTCTACTAAGGCAGAGAAGAGAAAAAGAGGCATTTAACTATTACTATTGCAGAAACTGTAGATGGACAGTAACTTCACACTACAAATACAATAATCATACTGTGCACATATATTCAACTGCATTGAATACATAACAAACCCATGTTAAGTTTACTGAGCACAATCATTATTATTTTAGTATGTTCAAGAGTCTCAAGTTACTCACATCAAGAACTGAAACTAATTGCAAACTGATTCAGTTTTGTATTTATTTCACCTTGCTGAGGTTATGTGAGTAACAGACATACAAAATAAATGAGGCAATCCTATTTTCTATATGCCAGTTGAAATGAAGACTATCTCACTAAGGGTTTCCCTGTACTCCTCTGGCAGTGAATTCACTGCTTGGCTGGAGAGATACTTATCTAAAAGTAAAAGTTCTACAAGTCTTCCAACCAACTGGCCTCTAACCTACCTTTCTTTGAAAAGACAGAGTAAGCCTCAGGATTGTGAAGCTTATACACAGAAAGCAGCTTTCAAAGTATTTACAGGCCATGCACAAAGCAGGCAGCTTTGTTCACAGTGATGTGAATTCCCCATTACTATCCCACTGAATACATTTATGCTTTCCCACTGGAATCTCCTCTTGGTGACAAATGATTCATTCTTTATGCTTACTCAGTTCTGGCCTCACCTGAACACATCATTTGCACCAAATACTGCAAAGCTTTCCTAGTTTTGTGATGTGGTCAAATTTCAGACAGCTCAACTGTCTTCACTTAAAAGAAGTGATGATGTTCCAAAGACCTCAAAGGCAAGATGCTTTACCCAGCAAGACATTCTGCCCTTGATGTAAGCATATTGTGATTTTCCCATTCTGTGAATTATGCTACATCATGTGTGCCTGTTTTTATAATCTGACAATTGTGCAAGGTGATCCGGATATTATTTCATGACATTTTTGTGATTTTTTTCCTTCAGTTTATAGAGAATGCTTTTTTTTTTCAGTCTGTCTAGTGCTGAAATTTCTATTCCAGGTTTCCCGTAGATATAAAAGATACACATGTGCATAATATTACTTATTCTTACCCTGTCAGCATCAATGAGGCATACTGTACCTGTCCTTTCCAGACATACAGAGAATAGTAATTACCTAGAAAACATTTGCTAACTAAATTATCTTAGGACTCCCACAGTCCCCAGGTTGTGGGACATGGGCTTCCTGTGGGCTGTTGGAAGATCTCATTGCCACTCTTAAATCAAGCATTTCACTTTTTAATATATATATATATATATAGTGATTGATAGTGCTTAAAGAGCAGAAATCTCGTTTTCTCCATGTGTGTGATCTGCCAACAATCACACAAGCACACACTAGCTGCTCTGGTCACTGCAGGAACCTCAGGAGGTTGCTGGGTCCAGATGGCTGAGTTTATCACAGCACACTACTGAGTCTCTTAAAGGAGCTGCAAACCATCTGGGCAGATTTAAAGCCAAAAGGAAATATGTGGATCCTATGGAAACAGGTCTCTTGCATACTGCCCTCATAGTCTTTGTCATCTACCTGTTCCTCTAACCGAGTCAAAGGAAAGAAACTTCATGGGAGGTGCAAATACTGGACCTCAGTGAAATAAATGCCTAATATTATTCCTCTTCTTATTTAAATATTTCTCTTCCTATTAACCACTTCTGATGAGTGATTAAGGGAGAACACAGCAAACAAACATATGTGGGACTAGTCTCTTTTCCTCTCATGGAGTCCAGAACATTTCCAACTTTATGGAAGCACAGTACACGTAAGTAGTTGATGTTTTCTTGGGTGTATGTATACATAGATATCTACCTACAAATCAAAGAAAATGAGAATATGAAATTAACATCATCATTTACTGTCTAATTTTTGCAGTATGTTGGCTACTTCCTCAAAAATTCTAGAGCCTGGACAGCTGCATTGTTCTTAAGCGTAAACAGAAAGCCTATCAAGGCAATCTCACCTCTGCTGGAATCACAAGCACCACAGTCACTTCACATGTATCTTTAAACTCTACTTTCTCATCATTTAAGTAGCTAGTAGAATGTGATCAAACATTCTAATGTATAATTTTACTCACCATTGTATAAAATGCACATCACAGGCCCATGTGATTGTGCATGTGAATCACAGCATTTACACTGCCTAGGGCACATGAGCACCAAGGAGCAGTCTAGGTCCAGCTGATTAAGCTGTAGTGCAAAGTAACACATCAGTACTCAGTAGTCAGAGGTATGATGTCCAACAGTGGTTTATTGGACCACGGAGTATAACACTGTAATTTAC